ATTTTTTTTTTTAAAAAAAATAAACCCCCTAAAAAAAAAAAAAAAGCTGCTGTGAAAACATATTAAAAAGATCGTAAGGAAATGCTTTCAGGACCAGGATGTGAAAGATACGGTGAGAAAAAGAGAAATGGAGATCCATATCATTTAGTAGCCCAACAGGGCACTCTGGTAGGATGCAAGACACCCTGATGCAAGACAACATCTTAATCTTCAGAAAGTTTCATTAAGTGAGGCTGTTTTTTCAGCCAGCCTTACTTAGTTTTGAACTAAAATTGTAGGAGCAGGGTGGGAGCCTAGACTTTCTGACACAGAATAACAGAGAGCAGATCAGAATAATAGAGCAGACCAAAGGCCACCCAGAGTGCTCGTTGCGCTGTGACACACGTGTGTCACGGGAGACCGCTGCAAGCTCTGCAAGGGTCATGAAAAGCATCGCAGCAGCCAGGTGGCTTGGCCACCAGAAGACATCCCTTGCTTTCTAAAACCACTCATTGCTCCTGCACCCATTGAAATCTATTTAATTGGCTGGTTGCCAGGTGTTTTTCCCCCTGCTTGCACAGGCCACCAGAGCTGACACATGCTTTCTGACCGTTACTTCTCTCATCTGCTAGTTACTACTGCCAGCAGCAGCAGCCTCTTGGGCTCCTGGCTCCTGCTGCTTCTTACTGTTGCTGCTGCACGGGAGCTATCATAGTGAGTCACTTCTAATCACCAAGGGAACCCACAGCCAGATCTCCGCTCCTCCTAAAATGGGAACTCACAGCTACATCTTCTTTCCTCCTAAAATAATCAAACTATGAGAACAAGCACTGTATATTTGGCAGTATCTGAAATATGATATTCAATGCATTAGACGGGTGGAAAAGCAGGACAATGAGCTCAGCCATAGCAGGGCCCCAGGCTAAGACCACCCCAGGCTTGCAGTGCAGGTGGTCTTCCGAGTCCACATAGAGTCATGCAGAAAGGAGATCAGTTCTTTGCAGGTTCTGAGTAGAGACCATTGCAGAATGAGCTTTTTTCCCCCCATTACTTGAAAAAATTCTGAGGGAGGCCTTATTATCAACACATCCCCCTTATATTTCAATTCGGAAAACTGGGTCCTTCAAAGGAATACCATTTAACAAATAAGACAATGCTAAGCTTTTTAAATGGTTTTATGAAGGCAAGTCTTGTCTTCAGTTTAGTTTACTCTTATCACGTCAACTATTATAAATTGCAATACGATAATCCTTTTAAATAAATATTCATTATTTTGAAGTACATTGAAAAAATGTTGGTTATTTTCAAGCAGAAGTGTTACCTGTAAAATATTGTTCTGCATTTCTATAACCTCTCTTTCTTATTCCTAGGTATTTCCACACAATATACTTGGGTATCCGGAGTCGACGGAGTGGAGAGAATGACAGATGGCGGTTTTATTGGAAAATGGTGTATGAGTATGCAGATGTGAGTATGCTGCATTTGCTAGCCACGTTTCTGGAAAGTGCACCACAGCTGGTCCTGCAGCTCTGTATTGTTGTACAGACTCGTACACTCCAGGCTCTCCAAGGTAGGGGTTCATTTAATCTATTTGTTTTTTATCATATTAGGAAGATGTAATTTCTATACATACATATTTATCCTTCTTTCAAACTGCTGTGTGCCTCGTACTCCTGGCATAAGAGCAGATCTTGCCTGCTAGCTCCTGTTAAGCTGTTAACAATGACTGTCAAGAAAGCCTGTGTTGTTGGAGGTTTTTTAGCCTTTCTTATTGGCCCTGGGTTGTGGGTAGGATTTATAATGTTTTCCTTTCTGCATGGCCTTGTAATAGAAGAGCTCTTCTGATTATCCACTGGGCCAACATGAAAATTGTATCAATCAAACTATTGCTCTTCTCCCTGTGCTTCTTTCTGTGAATGTTCAAAACCCTCAAACTGCAGTAATGAGGTTCATACGGTATTACGCAAAACAGAAAACGGCACAGCAGAAAACAGCTATTCTGTGAAGAAAATGCCAGTGTCTATGGAACACGTCCATCAGTTCTCAGCCATGTTTATCTGAAATAATACAAGTCATCTCCTGAGCATTACAACAATACTCATTCCTTCAAGCTGTGGGTTTCCTTCTAAGGCTGATGCTTTCAGCAAGCATAATTACTTCTTTAAAATGGTACATGCGTGCATATGTCCTGCCATAGGGTTTTGTCAGTCAGCGATACAGATATAAGAATATGTCCTTCTCTACTGCTCTTTTGATGCTACTTTTGGCTACCTGATAGCTTTCCTTTTGTATTGCACCATTGTTTTGCCTTATGGCTGCACCTGGGCAGAAATTATTAGCAAGGGAATGAGGTGAATGAGAACTTGGGATCCAGAAGGTGACACAAACGTCATGAGGCGGTGAAGAGTGAAGGGAGGAGGGGAGGAAGAGTGGAGGGACAGAGGGAGGAAGGAAATGCAGCATTTTTGCCATTTGCTTTTAAGAAAAAACTCGTGTGCTTGCCACTGTACAAGATAAAACTGTGACAGCACCTTGCTCCAAGAAGCTCTGGGTCTAGTTAGCTTATTATGAGTAACACGCAGTGAGGCTGATCAGGTGAAAAAGGACTGGGAACAAAGTGGGTAACTATGTGAAGACCTTGATCCTGGGCAGTTTCCTGTGGATAAATCAGAGGCTTTTCGTTTACCTCCTCTTTGAACTGACGTGTAATAACAGCTGTCCTGCTTCCTGTGGTTTTTTGGTTTTGTTTCTTTAGATCCAAAACTCTGCCACCTTAAGGGGGAAAGAAAGCTAAAGTTTCTATTTTAATTAGTTGGTGCTCTGTACAAGGAAGGTTGCCTAAACACTTCCTACAGCTATTTCTCAAAATGATGCTGCCCCACACCAATCAGTCCAAACTATTATCATTCAGGAGAAGGTATTATCACTTCAAGAAGCTTTGTCCCCCCGGAAAAAGAGACTCCAGAGAGAGACTTAGGAGAAAAACATAGCCAGAATACTGTATGGTCAGCTGTAATTTAGCTATCTTCATAAACTATTAATACAGAAGGCCTCTCGCCTTCATTTTAGTGCAATAACAGATCTGTCTATGAGAAACCTGGCTGGTGTGTAGGCACTAAGCCTGTGATGTACTCTGCAAGTGGTTGTTAATTAGAGAAAACCTGAAATGCTTCAATTTAAAAGGCAAAGATGGTTCCTGGAGCCTGCAATCAGCTCTGTGAAATTTATGTATCAGAAACCAGAAAGGAATAAAACTATAATTATGGATTTCAGCTGAGAAGGCTGAAAATACTTACTTATCCTCTCTTCCCCCATTTTCTTCCATCTTCCAAGGAGAAAAGGCTCCATTTAAAAAAACTAAGAAAATTAAACAAGGTTGTAGCATTTTCTTAAACAGTAGTACCATTATATTCTCCTGATGAAAGCTAATATGTTTTAGTACATTGCCAGCTGTGAAAATCCTTTTTCTGTTCTCTCTCCTTTTTTAAAGAAATGTTAAGGATAATGCGTTGCACTATAGGATGGTAGATTTGCTGTGAGGCTGCATAAGGAAAGCATAATTTCTCTCGGTGGTATCATGCTACAACTGGGTGTTTTAAAAGGCATAGCCATAAGGTATATGCTTCAGCTAGCTGTCCACTCACTGAGCCTGTTATAGAGATTTCTAATATGGATCAATAAACAGAGTGTTTGATTGTTTTTCTTTGTTTAGAGAATGCTACTTGGTTTTTATTATTGTTCTTTTAGTTCTCTGTCCCGCAGGACAAAATTATCATGACAATTGATAAGTGCCATCACTGGTCCATGTTCTTAAAAGTACACTTCCATCACAAACCACAAATTTGGCATGGGAAATGAATGATACTGGAAATGCCTTGGTCTATAAGCAGGGTATTTCTAATATCGAGCCATTAATGACCGCAAGAAAAACTGTTAAATATTTTATTTATGAAATTGTATATTTTCCATTCCAAATGCACCAAAATAGCATCATTCCCAACAGGAGAATGCTGTCAGTGTGACTGAAGATTCCCCATTTTGTAATGGGTGTTGGCTAGGTGTGGATTATTTCTTATTTCAGTCCTTAAGCCCTGCTAATTAAGGTAAGAAATACATACAGGCATGTACAGACGTCCTTATGAAGATCAAGAAAAATATTGCACAATGTGTGCAAAACCTTCCTTCTTAGTCTTCCATACACTGCAGTGAGGGCCACTTCAAAAGCCCAGAGGATGCACCACAAGGATCCTTTAGCACTTGCCTGGGCTCCCCAAACATGGATTAAAAAACTGCAATGTAAACTTCTAGCAAGGATTGTGTACCACTGTACCGTGACTGCTGCAGCAGAACATTGCTTATGCGGGAGGCCATAGACAGTCATTATGGAGTGGCATCTCTTTTCTGTGTTGGCACCCAGAGAAATCTGAGCATTGATAAAACAGTATCTAAATTATTATCTAAAAATCTGATTCTTCTTTAAGATTTCATCAAAACTGGCACGATTAAAGGCAATGATCTTTCTTGTTCTGCCTACAATCAGCAGCCAGGTCCCTCCCAGAGTGGAAGGAGTGAAACGACTTATGGGGGAAGATGATGATTTCTCAGTGCTAATTTCTCAAGAAGACAAACAACTTCAATATGATGCTGGACTAAGCTGGAGCTCTGCTAACCCCCCCTATTACCTCCATGTTTTCCACCCTGGTGGTTCCCTTGAGTCTGAAGAAATATCTATAGAAGACAGATGTGCCTTGAAAATAAGTAATCCCTCAGTCTTTTCCTCATGGGAGTCTCTTTTCCTTCCTTTCTCTTCATGTGCTCTGAGCGCAGCACTCCCACAGCAACTTCTCTGCTGAGCCAGCTGCACCTCCAAACTGCATTGCTTTTGTTTGTTTTTTCTCCTCTCTCTTAGTTACTCTGTAGAAAAGTCTTGTCCTAAGCAGCTTCATGGTGGGAGTCACGAGCTTCACCAGTCTTATTCTAGGTGGGAACTGTATGAGGAATGGGGCAGCTCTGCATGTGGGGGGAGCAATGGCAGAAAGTCCACTGAAACAACTGATGCTCATCCTGCATCCATCTGTTTGCATAGGGGCATATATGTGGACAGAAGCCTCTGAACCATCTGCAGGTAAGCTAGTTCAGCTACCAGAAACAGTCTAATAGCAATAGCCTGGAGGCCAGGGTGGGCTAACTGATCTCAATGCCAGCCTACATACACCAACCACCTGAAACTCCTTGTGGACCTGGGCCCTTCAACCTGTGTTTTCAGTTCTGCTCCCAGGGCTGGGCAACCAGGTCCTGCACTGGATCTAACTCCAAGTCACAGGAAAACAAAGTATCAGAGTTGGAAGTGTTTGGATTATTGGATTACCCAAATAAATTCAGAAGGCTGCAAGTAATTGCCTTAAAAATGCCTCTACCCTTCAAGCCATTTAGAAAATAAGCAGTAGTTTCACAGTCTTTGCTATAAAAACGAACACTTCCACAATAATAAGTATTAGGCAGATTTGGTGACACAGTAAGATCAGTCTAAAGGCTACGAGGCTGGCGTTCCTGTGGCTGCACACTGGGTCCCTCGGACACTTTTATTTTCCTCATTGCTAACTTCTTTGAGTCTCAGCAGGATCCAGTTGGACTCTCTGGGGCATGGGGGTGTCACACAACTGGTAGTGCCAGCCTTGGGGAGGCAGGGGGGACATGGCATCAGGGTGGGTAGGGAAGGTCAGGGCTGTCCCTTTCTGTGGCACCTTGTTTTGGAATCACGCCCGCAGACTGGCAGTCATCCCTTGGCACTCTCCTTTTACTTCCTTCGATTTTCCCACTAAGCCATTCGATTTTAGAAAGACTTCCCATCTTAAAATTAGTAAAAACCAGGGAGCAAAAAATCCTGCTGATCATCTGATTGGAAAGAGACTCCTATCCGTTAGCATACAGTTACTGTCATCTTACTCAAGGGCATGGTGTTCTAGCTGCTCCTAGATGAGCAGATAGACAAGATTACTCCCTGGATTTACCACAGATTTCATTATTTATGCTGTATTAATTAACACATTGTTTAAATTATAGATTAGCTTCTCATTCCTGTTTACTGCATATTATGCTGGCTAGTCAGCACTTGACGTTTTTTTCTTCATCAGCCCCTGGGGGGTTTGTTCTGGCTTCTCCATACAGTACTATTAATCAAAGTCTCTATCAAAGTTTAATCAAAGTCTAATCAAAGTTTATATCATATAAAACTGCAGTTCTTAATATAGACTGACAGTAGCACAGAAGCAAAATGAGATGTTGAGAACAATTCATAGAAATTCATCAAGTTTCATTGAAGTCACCACACTGCCATAGAGCTGCTGGATTCTGCTGAAACTACATTTCCATGAGATCTCCCTGGCCAACCATTTTCCTATTTTCTACCAGCTCTGTTGGAAACTCCTGCACTGTTCATATGCTGACACCGCAGCCAGCGTACAAAAGTTCCCAGTGCCACCAAGCATCGCTCTCCAGTCCTTCTACTGCAAACAAATTGCTGTTCCTGCCTGAGCTGAACAAGAAGTTCAGAGACTTGCTAGCAGTTTA